CTTAAAGTAAGGCATTAGGAGGATACTATTTCTAAAAACATTTGGAAAATACTACTTGTATGGCTGTTATGCTGGTCCACTGGCTTCAATACTTTCTGAGTGTTTGATCAAGAAGGAGCATACATACCTGGCAAGTTTAAAGCCCAGCCCCAGAAAGACGAAACATGCTTGTTTCATCTGGAGGTGATGGAGTAAGGTGTAAACACTTACCTTATTTCAAGATCCAGCAGGATCCCTCCAGAACTACCACCAGTCTCCCACAGCCACCTTTGTAACCAGCGTAAGGTACATGAAGATGCCAAGGCTGCACTTACAGACAAGAACTTTGGGGAAATAAGGGGATCACCAGAGCTGGCTGGAGCGAGGTACAGGGTAACAAAAACACAGCCTGTACAGTACTGCCTACACATAACAAGCATTTATCTCTTGCAGTGTGGGGGGCACTACTACAAGGGTGGATGGTTTCAAATTCCTGGTGTGGTCTTTATGAAGATGTACAGTAGAAGTCCTTATCTGTTCATGGTCAATGACCCAAGTTATTGAAGTAAGAGAGTCATCCTGCAACAGGAAGAAGGGTCAGCTGCACACCGGAGGATAGATGAATATACTGTATATTTATTGATCCATAGGACACACAAAACACCAGGACATGAATACAGGACCTGTTAACGCGTTTCACACGATCTCATGCTTAATCATTACAAAGAAAACAACAAAAGTGCAGTCTTATATAGTTGTTAGTTAATAAAGAACACCTGTCCTAATCAGCATTCCTGAATCCTGGATTATCTGTGTTTGTGTATGTTATTTCATTTTACTTTTTATTTAAAAAAAAAATTTTCATAATTATTTTTATTCATTATTCTTTTTCTCTTTCTTTGTTTCTCTTTTTATTCCACTTTGCTTTCCTTTTTCTTTTCTTCCTTCCTTGTTCTCTGATATCACTGTTTTTGATACAATGGTTTTATATGTTTCGTTACAATGTACTAGTAGGCGTATCCTCAGGATTTAGGAGTGCTGATTAGAACAGAACTAACACATATATAAGACAGCACTTTTGTTGTTTTCTTTGTCATGATTAAGCACGAAATCATGAGAAACGCGTTAACAAGTCCTGTATTCATGTCCTGGTGTTTTGTGTGTCTCCCTATGGATTAATAAATACACACTATATTCATCAATCCTCCTGTGTGTGGCTGACCCTTCTTCCTATTGCATCATGTGTGGTGGTGAGCCAGAGCCTTCACCTGTTGTGGATTGATCTGGACTGTTTGCCTGAGCGGTATACCTCTGTTCTTTGAAGAGAGTCATCGTGGCAGTCACAGAGCTAGCATTTTAATAGAGGTGAGCAATGATAGCTTCCATATCTTTCTTATGACAGATTTACCTTAAAGTCACAAAAAACAGTAAGGAGTACATATATGAAAAGTATGCCAACAAGAAAATGTCTTGTTGCTCAAAAAAAAAAACAAGCAGAATCCTTGATTCATTTTCAAATCATGGTCTGTTGAAAAAATATTTGCTGATGTCCCACTTCTGTCTGCCAATCCTAGTAATAATAAAGGCAAAATATGGTGTCACGCTTCCTTTGGTGGATTTTCCATCACTAAAATGAAATGGATAGTAATACAGTTCAGAAACAACAGCCTCTTACATAGCTCAACTAGGAACTGGAAATTATAATATGAATATCACAACAAAGTCCCCAGGAGACGATGTAAAAGACAGTTTTTTATTTAGCCCACCATTTTCTGTCTAATTCTACAACATAAAATTTGAGTGAACTTACCAAATCTCAAAGAAATAGGTACAAATATGCCCAGCAAACTAAAATCTTCTACTCTCTGAAAATAACACAATAGAATAATTTTTTTTCAGATGTGTTGCAACAAAGAATGTGTCTGTCAGGAGCATGGCTTTAGTGAATTAACAGCAGGTATGCTTCCACTGTTGTGTACATCACAACCATCATATGTGCATAGTAAATACTGTGAAGATACGATTGGGTTGATTGGCCTGTTTTGCGGCCTCAGTTGCCCCTGGTGGCCCTTCTGTTTATGTGAGCTGCCTGCCCAGGGTAAATGCACTTCAAACCACCAACTTTACATCATCTTGTAGAAATAGATTCATTCCAGGCAGAAATGCCCAGACTATAGGGAGCAGGCATTCACCTGTTAGTTCCAGAAGTCAATCTCAGACAAACTAACTGAATATAAATGAGAAAATGCATATTTCATAGTTAAACCTACTGAACTCTTAGTAGCTTAAAGGAGAACTCAAATCTATTTTTATATGCTCATTTTTGATAAGTAGACTATGTTGTCTAGCCACTGCTTTTGATATTTAGCTATCTTTACACCCTTCTATGCTTTATTCTTGCATATATTGTACTATGTAACTTTTGGATAAATAAAGGAATTACAAAAAGGAGAACTCAAGGAAAAATATATTTTTAAAAAACCTGCTGGGTTAGAAATAGTTAAATCTTACTAGGTGCCTGCCACCTCCTGGATCACTGCATGTTCTTTACAATTTACAAATTACAATTTTCATTGAAGCCAGGAAGTATAGCTTTTGTTAAACTTCCAGCACTCCGACAGGAGACTTTCAGCTCTCATACACACAAGCCTCAGAGTCATTTGTTCGCTCCTCCTTTTGTCCAATCACATAACACTTTGTATTCTGTGAATGGAGTACCAGAAGTACAGAAAAAACTATAATTCCTGGCTTCAATGAAATTGTAAATTGTTTAAGAATTCTCACAAAAATCCAGTTGCAGTAGATTCGGTACACATTATGAATTACAGTGTTTTCGAATATGTCAGAGCAGTATTTTGCATAACAACAATTCAATTAAAATGTTAATTGGCTGAACTCTGGGAAGTATATTATTATAGAATGTCCATCCTGGGTGGATTGGACCAGGCAAGGATTGGATGAAAGTTTTTTTTGAGAATTTCAGATGATTTTAAATATTTTATTTTTTTTACATGAATATTCATTGATCAGTTGGTAAAGTTTTTTATTTTATCTTTTGGGGGGGGGGGAGTTTCCCATGGTACGTGTGTTAAATCCACATACTTTCCTGCACACCAATTCCATTTCAAATCAGGCTAATAAGGATTGCATATATTGGTTGTGGAGTGGAAAATAAGGGTTGGGGCACTGTTTGTTGATACAACATGACATTTAAAGTATCTGCAGTCATGGTAATAATAAATCAAATGCACGGGTTGTGGCAGATATGTAGGGATCTCTCAAATATCCAGTAAAGTATAGACCTACAGTATGTCAGGAAGCAGAGTTGACACCTAGGGGTTGATTTAATAAAACTGGAGAGTGCAAAATCTTGTGCAGTTCTGCATAGAAACCAATCAGCTTTCAGGGTTTTTTTTTGGTCAAAGCTTAATTGAATAAAGTGAAGTTAGAAACAAATTGGTTACCAAGCACAGCTACACAAGATTTTGCACACTCCAGTTTTAGTAAATCAACTCCCTAGTGTAATAATTTTTGAACAGGAAAGTGAGGGTCTAAAACTAGCCATACATTAGCCAAGCATGGGAAAATCAATAGATTCTTCCCTCCACACTAAACAGCGTGGGTAACGAAATTCATACTGCAGGCTATTGTATTCTAGCAGACGCTACAGCGGCAGCTGCCTAAGCACCCAAACAGTGACAGCATCTGATTTGATGCAGTCACATTTTGACTGTCAATTTTTCACCCTTTTAGTTTTTCAATTCAATTTTTTAAAGCTAGGCAGTGCCAACAGGGCCACACACAGCCCGAATTTCATCTGATTCAGCAGGAGTCAGCTGAAATTCAAGCTAGCATCAGATTTCAGATTATTATAACCTCCAAATTTTATGGGTGATTTGTAGAATCTAGAACTGGAGGTTCTGCTTGAAAGCAGTTTTGACTGGTATGTAGCGGTAAAGGTATCTACAACACAAGTGGTGAATCTTTTTTTTCACTCCTGGCTATTTTAACAACTATCAGTTACAAAATTGGATTTCAAGTACTGGCTGTTTAGGCTGTAGGTATGACGTTTGGGAATTGTCAATAGCGAAGGCTAATTGACAATATATGTATTCTTTTCTGAATCTGCATTAGTCATTGATACAAAGAATTTGGCTAACAGCCTAAATATCTCCTGTCACTGGAGTGCCAAAGATGGGAAACCCCTGATGTTGAAACTGAACACTGTATGTCTCTCAGTTATGAGACAGGAACCAATGGTAATGTTTTTAATACTATATAAAGGCAATGCACCCTTTGAATCATGAATGCAAAATCAGGAGCTCTCCTGTATAACAATGGACCCCCTGGAAAGTGGACATATAGCTTACAATCAGGTATGTGATGATTTATAATCACAGTAGAAAAAAAAGATCTTATCTGTAACCTGTGTAGTTGCTGTTGTGTCACCTCCCCTTCCCCTTACTCCATGTTTTCTAGATTTAACCAGTAACACAAAAGATGACACAATAATACATGTGTGTTAGAGGAAATTCTGTAACCAAATTCTCCTGTCTTCCTAGCTGTCTTATGCTGATAAAATAAAGAAGATAGCGATTAGCCAACAGAATAAGGAGAACTTTGCCAACAGAAGACATTTATGTTGTGAAGCGGGCTGGACAGAAACAAAATCACCTGGAAGAAGAAAGCCATAGCCCAGACAATGTCTCAGAACAGTTATTATGAGTTTGAGAAACGAGGCCCAAGCTCAAGTTATCCTGCCCGCCTTGGAGCAGCCCAAGGAGAGATTGTAGGGAGTAATCTCTGTGATCCTGAGACCTCCGTGGATTTGTCCACATACATTGATACAGGAGAAGAACTTTTGTCTGATGTATTTCCTCTTACGCAGGAACGTGTGAAAGGCACATATCAATACCTGCCTTCGGAGGGCTATCCCTCTAGTGCCCTGTATGGATACCCACACAGCATGGTCCCAGACCGCAGAATAGGAGGATATGAATCAGGAGGAGTGATTGTGAAGGAGGAGACCCGTGGATCACATAGGGCTGTGTGTAACACTCTACAGTACCAGGCTGCCCAGTGTGCACAGACTGCAGTGCATCTACCCCCAACAATGGAGAGGGTACACCCAAACACTTCGTGTACTGAAGGTGAGAATAGTCTGGCACTCTCTAAGCACCATTTGTTCTTCCTCTTCTACCACCTCTTTCTTACATAATCCAACATGTATTAAAGTGATTCTAAACCTATTTTTTTTATAACAAATGTTATACTCACCTGCTCTGCGCACAGAGCAGCCCTGAATGTCCTCTTTTTGTGTCCCCCATCAGTGCTCCTGGCTCCTGCTCTGCTTGGTTTGCCAACATTGGAATCCGTTTTCTGCCATGGCACATCTCCGAGCTTGATCCTGAGCTGTGCTGCCTGTGTCCATAGACACAGACAGCTGAACTCGCAACCAAGCACCCCCCCCCCCCCACACACACACACACACACGCTTCCACTGCTATCAATCTGTGAGGAGAGAGAGAAAGAGAGCAGACAGTGCTGCTGCTCTCAGGTACAGTGCTAGATTGGACCTTAAATGAGGGGTTTACTTGCTAGCCCTCAGAATGAAAATTGCTTATTAAATGCAGGAAAAACTGTGAAAATGTGGAATATACTTCCTGAGGAGACAGTTATAGTAGATTGCTTTAAAAGTAGACTGGATGTGTTTCTAAATGCAAAGAATATACAGTAACTGGCCATTTTTAAGAAATAGCATATTGATCCAAAGAATATCCAATTGTCTAAAGAGATCAGGAAGGATTTTTTTCCTGTTGAAACAACCTTGGCTAACAGCCTAAATATCTCCTGTCACTGGAGTGCCAAAGATGGGAAACCCCTGGGGTAATGTTTTTTGACCTTCCTCTAGATCAACTCTGGGTTTAGAGCTCTTGATTCATTTCTTTACTTACTAATTTTTCTCCTTGTTCAACTTGATGGTCTTTTTTCCAATCTGACTATATAACCATGTATTGAAATCCAAAAAAGTATAAACAATAGGAGAAAAAGGTAACACCCCCCCCCCCCACACACTTATCTTACACCCCAGCCTCTAAAACATTTTCCTAAGCGAAGTTAAAAAACATTTAGCATTCTCACAGGATTCTGGGAAAGCTGAAGACCCCAAATACCAGCACATTTTATTTTAATTTTTTTGGGGTTTCAACATGTAATTTGTATTCATAAGTGACAAGGCTAGCAAAATAGCAGACCTTGCATCTTCATGCAAGGTCTTTGTTAAATGAGGGATCTGCCTGCAGTTAAAACTTTTTAAAAAGTTTAAATAGAGTAGAGAAGGCTAGAATCTCTGCCAGATTTTTATTGCTGTCTATAGCCCTGTTGGGCAGAATTCCCATCACTTCTTGCCACTGTGACAAATTAACAGCCAGAGAGAAAGTAAGGGGACTTGCTCTTACAAGAACACAGACAATAATAAAACATGATAGAGAATTTACATTTCGCCACTTTGCTTAAAAAAAAAGAGGGGTTTTATTGCTGCTGTTTTCCTGTTAAAGAGATGTCAAAACTTGCTGTTTTTACTGGAACAGGAAGTTTGAGGAAATCTCCCAAAAGACAAGAAGGCAATAGCAACCTGGCAACCTTGAGCTTGTGTTTGGCAGTATCACATAATCCCAATGTACACAGTTGATGTACTTGCTATCAGGCTTAGAGGACCCAGTAAGCAGTGTCAGAGCATTTCTATATAGTTTAACCACTTGCCCTCCTGAGGATTTACCCCTCTTCCTGACAAGACCATTTTTTGCGTTACAGCGCTACGTTACTTTAACTGACAATTGTGCAGTCATGCAACACTGCACCCAAATGAAATTTACAACCTTTTCTTCCCCACAAATTGAGCTTTCTTTCGGTGGTATTTGTTCACCTCTGCGTTTTTGTATTTTTTGCGCTGTAAAAAGAAAGACCGACAATTTTGAGAAAAAAAAAATATTTTTTACTTTTTGCTATTAAACATGTCCAGTAAAAAAAAGTAAAAAAAAATTAAATTTCGTCATAAATTTAACCAAAAAGCATGTCTTTGCTAAAAAAAATCCCAATACGTATAAATTAATTGATTTATGTGAAAGTTATAACATATACAAATGGCCGTATATATACTGGGATTTTTTTTTTTTATTTATTTTTAGTAGTAATGGCGGCAATCAGCAACTTATAGTGGGACTGTGGCGGACATTCTGACACTGGGGGGAACTGACTTGGTGTCACTGACATCTCCAGTGACAGCAATACAGTGATCAGTGCTAAAAAAAAACACTGACACTGTACTAATGGCACTGGGCAGGAAGGGGTTAACATGAGGGGCGGCCGAAGGGTTAACTGTGTGCAGGGAGTGTTTTACTAGGGGACGGTGTCTGTGTGCATCACTGTAATCACACTGCTCTGGATGACTGTGCTGTGCACAGCCATCCAAAGCAGTGTGCCCAAGCTGACAGGGAGGAGAACTGTTAGTAAACGAACAGTTCTCCTCCCCGTCGGAGATCTTCAGAAATCACTGGGCGCCGGCGAGTAATTACCGGCCGGGACCCGGTGATTGACAGCCGTGGCCGCGAATAGGGCATGCACTCCCCCTACACAGGATTGCAAAATCACGCACAGTATATATACATGATTTTGCACACCCGTGCTGCCCTGTAGCAATATTTCTGCTATAGGGCAGTCAGGAAGCAGTTAAAGTGATTCTAAAGGATATTTTTTTCAATAACAAATGTATCATACTTACCTGCTCTCTGCAATGGTTTAGCACAGAGCAGTCCAATCCTCCTCTTCTCAGGCCCTTTGCTATGGGGGCACTGGTGCAGACTCAATCCTGAGCTGCACTCTGTGTTTTCATTGACACACAGAGCGCAGCTCACCCTCCCCCATTCCTTCCTCACTGGCTGTGATTCACAGCTACAGGAGCCAATGGTTCCCACTGCTGCCTCTCTGTCTAGTGAGGAGAGAGAGCTGAGAGAGCTAGTCTTGTGCACAGCACTGGATCGAGATAGGGCTCAGTTAAGTATAAGGGGGCGGCGCTGCACAGAAGGATTTTTCCCTTTAGAACCACTTTAAAAGAGAAGTATGGGCATTACAAAGAAAATTACCTAGGTGGATATAGCATTGAATCCAATGCTGCGTCTGCAATCCCCCCCCAGTTCTGCACTGAGAACTGAGTGATCAAACAACATTGATCGCTCAGTTCTCCCCTCCACTCTGAGGAAAGAGCAGTGACTGTCAAAACCGGCCCTCTGCTCTGCCTCTCCAGCACTCACTGGTACGCTGGGCAGTGAAGGGGGTGGAAAAGGCTGTCTTGGGCTCTCAGCAGCTCTACGAGAGGCTCAGCCAGCTGACGGTCCAGGCTTCTGGGCTCCTTCTGCTTGCTGGTGGATGAAGACAAGGTAGTGTTAACCCATTAAACTGAAATCCATTGAGAGCACACAGAAAACACTGCAGCACAGTGTCCTACCTAAATAGCTCTCTGTTTCTAGCCAATCACTTAACTACAAACTCCCTCCCACAAGTAATCTTTGTGTCAGACAACATATAATCTCCATAACTTAGATTAACCTGGATAAACAACTAAAAGCAAATTTAAAGTGGTTCTATGCAGTCTATGCATGAAGGTGAAAAACCTTCTGTGCTACAGGATCCCCTCCAGTCCTCCCTTATACTTTCCTGAGCCCAATCTGATCCAAAGATGTGCATGAGAGCAGCGGCACTGGCTCCCTCCTCCCTTTGCAGATTGATGGCAGCAAGAGCCATTGGTCGAGCCGAGCCAGCTGGGGGCAGGTCAATGGTGTCAATGGATGCAGACAGGGCTGCTTGGGAGTGAGCCCACACTGGCAGAGAGGTCGGTTTGGGTGATATTTGGAGAAGAGATTGGTGATGTCATTTAGAGCAGAGTTATAAATGGCTTTATATGTTATTGTTAATGTTTTGAATTTTATTCGTTGGGCAATGGGAAGCCAGTGGAGGGATTGGCAGAGAGGTATGGCAGATATGGAATGGTTAGTAAGGTGGATGAGTCTGGCAGCAGCATTCATGATAGACTGAAGAGGGGATAGCCTGCGATTTTGTGGGCCAGTGAGGAGGTAGTTACAATAGTCAAGGCGAGAGATAACAAGGGAGTGAATAAGTTGCTTAGTGGCTTCAGAGGTTAGGAACGGGCGTATCTTGGAGATGTTGCAGAATTGAAGTCTACAAGATTTGGACAGTGATTGGATTTGGGACTGAAAGGACAGATGGGTGTCTCGTGTTACACCTTGTACCCTGGCATGAGGGGAGGGACTGATGATTGTATTATTGATCTTGATGGAGAAGTCAGGGGAGGGGGCACGGGCTGGAGGGAATAGTATGAGCTCCGTTTTGGAAAGATTGAGTTTGAGGAAGTGGAGTGACATCCATGCCGATATGTTGCTTAGTAGGTTAGTAATGCGAGTGGAGACTGAAGGGGTGAGGTGAGGGTAGAAAGATAGATTTGTGTGTCATCAGTATAGAGATGGTACTTAACCACTTGCCTACTGGGCACTTATACCCCATTCTTTACCAGGCCAATTTTCAGCTTTCAGTGCTGTTGCACTTTAATTGACAATTGCGCGGTCATGCAAGATTGTACCCATATGAAATTTTTATCATTTTTTTCTCAAATAGAGCTTTCTTTTGGTGGTATTTAATCACTGCTGGGCACTTTACTTTTTGTGCTATAAACAAAAAAAATTTGAAAAAAAAAAGTTTCTTTGTTTCTATTATAAAATTTTTCAAACAGGTAATTTTTCTCCTTCACTGATGTGCGTTGATGAGGCAGCACTGATGGGCACTGATAGGTGGCACTGATAAGCAGCACTGATGGGCACTGAAAGGCAGCACTGAAGGGCACTGATAGGAGGCACTGATAGGCAGCATTAATGAGGTGGCACGGATAGGCGGCACTGATAGGCAGCACTAATGAGGTGTCACGGATAGGTGGCACTGATAGGTGGCACTGATAGGGCGGCACTGATGATGGGTACTGATAGACAGCACTGATAGGTGGCACTGACTGGCATCACTGCTGGGCGCTGACTGGCAGCACTGCTAGGCATTGACTGGCGCAACTGCTGGGCACTGACTGGCACAACCGCTGGGCACTGACTGA